CTTTCCCTCTGAAGTATCAGCTGCAGAATAAAGTTTCTTTATGATTTTGCTTTTACTCATTTGACAGCCACTGGCTTTTCCTTGCAGAGACAAACAGGGCTCCATTTTGCATGAGACAGTTTGTAGCTACTATTAGCCGAAGAACTCTGTTGCTATAATTAAAATTGATGATGTGGATTTTCAGAGCCTGTAGAGGGAGTGCACGAGTACAACATTCTTTTGATGTGTTGATGGAGTGAAGGACTGGTAAATGGATATCTAGAATCTAGGAGGGCATTTCTCTCATTATTACAATTTAGGATGGTGACATTTTGACTGTAAGCTATTTAACAGTGTTTCTGTATTCATTAAGGGCAAAGTTCAACTTGGTGCAGACAGCTGGTGTATGGTCCTTTTATATAACACTTAAGCCTCATGATGAGGCTGGGGGAGGAAGGGCAGCTGTGGGCAGAGCAACTGTGCAGAAGAGCCTCTGGACCCTCTGTACATCAGAGGAAGTTTCAAAGGAGCCTCTGAATACACTAGCTCAGACAAGCTCTTAGGGAAGTCAAGGATGCAACCAAAGATTCACCAATACCTGTATTTTGGAGACCGAGTAATCCATAAATAAGTTACCTAGATAAACTAAACTTCCCACAGACATTCATTAATATGAGAGCGGTTGTGCTGAAGCCTCAGAGTCTGCCTGGGTAGAGCAGGACTGACTTGTCTTCCCAGTTTCCAGCAAGAGCCTGATTATTTGGGCTTTGTTTACAGACAAAGAAATTTGATTCCAGAAACAATCAGAAAAGAGAAAGTGTTCAAAAGTATGTGTCTAGCGGTTGTGTTACCATTGGGGCAGTTAACCAAATGTTATGCTGTTTTATTAAAAATTAAATTCATGTGGAAGTTGAATTAATATTTTAAATCCTTGCTTTGTGTCGTTCCTGTGGGAAAAAAAAAATCTAACAATGTTGTGTGAATTTTTTAAATTTCATTTTCCCTACCTTACTATTTCCTCTGGATAGCAATTGTTAATAGTATTGATATATTCCTGAAGAAGCGACCCAGGTTCTGCTTTTATTTCTTGAACCTTTTTAAGTCCACCAGTTGTTACAAAGAGACGACGTGCTTTACTGTCATGTGGTAACACCTACACACAGAAAAGTACATTAAAAAAAAAAAAAAGAGTATTTTCTTTTAAAAGGAATCTCTATGCTACTAGGCTCAAATATTGGTTATCTGGTTTTAATTCAGAGGACAGATAAAATGGAACATCAGAGGTACAACATCTGTAATGTCTACTGTATTTTAACACCCAATTGTACAGGAAAAAAAAATCACAAACCAGCCCTCTGTGGTTATAACATAATTTAACATGTACTTTAATATAAGTATAAACTATATAAAAATAATGAATTGAATATTTATCTTTATATAAATAATATTTCTTGAGTTATTCCTACAGAGACAGTAAGATTGTGGAGATTTAAATAGATAATAAAAACGGAACACTAACATGGAATAGCAACAGCATCTGTTCCACTTAAACCAAGTTATTCAGGTCTTTTATGTCAATTCCCACAGTTTAATTGCAGAGCAGAATTTTATATCATTATAATGATCTAGTATAGATTAGTGCATGAAAACAATTCTGAGAATTGTTGCAAGTGAACAATGCAGCCTTGAAGCATTACATGCTACTACTAAATTCCTAGATATTAAAATCCTGCAACACACTGTGTAGCCATGGAAGCCTTTTACAAACACACACACACACACAGAGCAAAAATGTGAAGTTTGTGCAGCCAAAGGGGATGAGAAGCAGAAATGATCACACAATACATTCTGCGCTCCCCGAGTGATGCCAATATGCAGCTCTGTCCAGAGGATGGGAGGGAGGGAGGTGGGGGCTGGGCTAGGCAAGGGAGAATGACAGCATGTAGTCCATAGGCCCACAGGGCTGCAATAATATTAAAAAGAAAAAAAAAAAAAAAAAAAAAAGGGTGCGGGTGGCAGGGAAGAGAGAAGGATAATGCAAGATGTCAGCTACATCTACAACAAAACCAGACTGGTTTAAAACCAACTCTGAGAGTTACATACTATGGGGGCAAAAAGCATTTTGTAAGCCTTCACACCGGGCAGACAAATCAAGCCACAAATTTGACTGTATCTCAGTGTAAAACAAGAGCCTCGAAGTAGGAAGAGATTGCCTAAAAGGGTGAAGGAAAAGAAGGATGAGATTTCTGCTATGCATATAAACAAACAGCCTCCATTTCTCTGGTCCCTCTAGGCTGTACAAAATCAATAGACAGGTGAAAAACACCAGGAGAGCATAGAGACTTCTCCCTGTTATATGCTCCATAGAATGGTCAGGAACAACTGTGATCGTTTCATTGTGGGAACTGAAAAGAGGGCTGTTTCCATGTATCTCCCACAACAAGAACTGCCATGGAGGAACTAGAAAAGATACAGGATATGGACCTTTCCCTGCCTTCCTTCTCCATGCTGTGACTCCAGGCTGGATACGACAGCAGAAAACTCTCTTGAAAGAGGCCCTAAACACAGACAGCACCTCTGAAACATAGTCCCTTCCCCCAGTCTAAACTGAGACAGCACAGAATTGCACAGACCCTGAAAACAATCACGCTAAAATGCCACAGTCCAGCACCAAGAACAGATAGCATCCCACTCTGAAGCACAGCTCAGAAAGAAGGCTTTTACTGTGCTATAAATAAGGCTACATAAGTAATACTCCACAGGGCTAAGAATAGGAAATTCCCAAGCTATGGTACAGGAGAGAAAAATGCTTTTACCACAGAGAACTTATTTTTAAATGTATACTTCAGAAGGGCAAATGCTAGACATAGTTCGTTTAATACAATGTAGGAGAAGAAGAAAAACGAACCAAAACATCAGCTGATATGAAGGGACCAAAATAATTTCAACAGCAAACAACATTCAAATCTATACACTGGGTAATCAGTTACTATGCACTCAGCTCATTAATAGCTCCAGTCAGCACACAGAAGCAAAAGGCACTGGATTCTGTGCAAACCTCCAATCTGTGTACAGACTTAGCAAGAAGACAGGACAAACCTAAGCATGGCAACGTACTTAGGAATCTGCACTACAAACCGTACTGCTTCAAGATCTGTGATAATCAGAACTGAGTACCAAGCGTGTTTTACTTGGCCATTTCCAGAAGAACATCTCACCGAGAGAGCCTGGTACCCCCTGCCAACAGATTACACTGCAGAGTATTACATAAAAGACAGTCTGCAGTTTAGCAGGATTCCCAACAGCTGGTGAACATTGCAGACACCAGAAATTTCCTGATTAGTAAGCAATTACTTAAATAATTTGCAGTATTTTGATTAAACTGTACCACTTTTTACATGCTGCGCTCAAATCAACAATGTAATTAACAACACTTTCAAATTTTGAGCGGGATGAGAAAAGATTTTGGATTTTTACATTTACTTAATTGAGACTGAAAATTAATGAGGATAAAAGTGGTGAAGCCTTTATACTCTACTGTAAAATACCTAACTTAAGTCACTCCTGTACAGACAGCCTGTACTTTATCTAAAACAGATGCGGCTGGGATTTATGTGATACATTGACTCAGTGAAAATATTTGCACGTGAGTTAATATTCCACTCAATCTCAAGAGGCAAGGAAGAAAAAAACACCTTGCTTATAAGCAACTGTGTTCCCAGTCTTAGGATGAATTACGGCAGGTTCCAGATGAAACAGTATCCAGCTTTATCAAACAAAAGAACATGACGCTCCAGAAAGCTTCTGCAGGGAATGTTGGAGGAACCTGAGAAAACAACTGAGACCTTTAGAGAGGTCTCATCTTTGGAAAGACAGCTTCCTTGCTAAATGGAAAATAATTAACATATTACTCATCAAGCAGAGCCTTTTCTTACCTTACTAAACTGCCCAACAATATGTTTCATAATATTGGGAGGGGCATCATGCAGCAATGGTTCAAGTGCTGGAAGATAGGTGCATTTCTGAAGGATGCTCTTTAAGGCTTTTTTAGTCTATTGAAATGCAAAATAAAATTTCTCTAGTAAGACATCAATGAAAACAACACAAATTCATGTTATCTATCACTGAAGTCTGAGCAAAAAAGCAAATTGATCAGAATTCTGCATTCAGAAAGAGCATTTTCTGAATAAAAACTATGACATCTATCAGGTCACCTAATGAGTAATCAATTTTCTACTTAGGTTTATTAAACTTCAAAACCTACAGTGCATCATATTCTTATTATGTTACCTATGGTCAAAATAATGGCAATTTTCCTTTGACAACAATGGAAGCAGGAGTAGACCCTTTAAGTAAATTGAAGTACCATAATATAATAAGAAAGCTAAATCAAAATACATTTTAAAAGGTTGTATTTTAGAAGTGGCTTACTAGGAGACTGTGCTGGTCTGGGATAGTAAAGCGCATTACTGTCCAGGCAGGGAGGGGAAGAGAGAGTGAAACAGTTGTACATCAGTGCTTAGCTGTTGAAAACAGTCTCAATGTTGACTGCTACAAGCAGTGATGACCTTCTTGGGTAGGATTATAGGTACAGCTGATTAGGCCTTGATTTTGGTGACCACTGAAAATGGCTATACAAAAGTTACTTTACAGATCTGGAACATTATACTTCAGTGGTATGATATGGTACAACATGGGAGACCATATCCTGTCCTATCGTACTCTTCAGTTGGTTCACTTACCGTGACCCAAAAACACATTTTACCAAACTGCAACTCTACTAGCTCCCACACAAGGAAGGCCCTAAACATGAACAGCTGCATGTTTTCAAGAGCAGGGCTTTGAGTATTTGTTACAGTTTTATTATAATAATAAAAATGTAAGAGAATTTACTACAAGGACTGTAATATTTTGTACGAGCGCTTATACTTCCAAAAATTTAAAAAAAAAAAAATTAGAAATCAGTTGCTCACAAGAAATTATAGTATTTATGGGTGTGTGCAACCCTGTTCTAAGCTGGGAAGAAAATAACGAACTAGATTGCTGTGGCTGCACCATATGATTTGGTATGTACCATATGCACACCCATTAGGACCAGCCAGTCCTAACAAATGTCACACAGCCTTCAGACACCCTACACCCAGGAAATCTGTGACTCAGTGAACATCAATAAAAGCACATACCATTTAGTAGTTTTAAGCACTTCTACCTGTTGGTTACAATAAATATCTCATACTGCAGATGCTACAAATATACTTGCTTTCATTTGAAGATCTTCTGAACTGTGTGTGTCCATATACATAGCAAGCAGTGTGGGTAGCACGTTTGCTACTGCAACGGCACGTGCATGCTCAGGAGTGTGTCTTCCAACCTGTCCCAAGGCCCACGCAGCTGCTGCCTTAATATGATCTTCATGTTCTTCTATCAAGCAGGCACACAGTGGTGGTATTCCCTGTAGCATTAATCAAAAGTGCAACCTTTACAAATCTATACCAGGGAAGGACAACTTGAAACTGATACAGATTGTTAGAAAGTGTTTCTTTATTTACACTCTTCTTCTAAATATATAGAATAAAATGATTTAATATCTTTTATATTAAGTAATTAATATAACTAATAATATTAAAAATATAGAAATAAAATAAATATAAGAGAACACATGCTAAGGGTGGCATTTTTACAACATCATGACTAGCAAGAATTTTTAATAAACTTTAATAAATCTATTTAAAGCAAGACACAAACACATTCAGTGTTCTAAGTCAGAAGGCAGTTTGAGCTAACACACAAATTTAACTGATAAAAGGAATGTGTGACACAATTCAGGCTGTACTAAGAGTAAAGGCTTCAGTTTTATCAGACTAAAAATAAAAGAATTTGAGTATTTATAAATCTATGAAAGCAGTTTAAGACCAGAAGGGCTCAATCATTAAGTCTTTTTTTTGTTTATCCACAGCACTAAATTTCAACTTATCAACCTCTTCTTGAGTCCAGTAGTTCACGTTTGACTCATCCAATCACTTCCAGAAAGGTTTCAATTCTTGATCTGAAGACATCAAGAGATGGAAAATACCTCACTCACATCCAGCTGTTACTGAAGTTCTTCTGGTTCAGGGTCACAGTCTTTAGCCTTTCTCCACTGGATTATGGAGCTACTTAGTAGCCAGTATTTTATGCCAGGATGCTTCAACAGGAATCATTTCATACCACTTTAGATAAGGGAGGCTACCAAACCTCTAACTAGAAAACCTTCTTCTCTGTCCCATAAATCATTTTTTAGTCTTTTCTGCACACTCTTTGGGTTTTTTTGAAGATCCTTTTCAAATACAGACAATAGAACTATATGCAGTAGTACTAAAGATAGATTAAAGATAGATATTCAAGATAGATAAACTTTTCTTTTCCAATAACGTTTCATCTTCCACTCTTTAATACCACAAAGGACTGAATTGTCTTTTTTTTTTTTTTTATGACTGCACTGCAGCGAAAGACCACAATGAAGTGTTTGTCCAGTATGACCCCAAAAATCATTTTTCAAAATTCATCCTTTCCAGGATACAGTACTGTGGAATGGAGCTATCACTTTACATCAGAATATCGTAGATGTGCAACTGCACATGGCTATGCCACATACCTTTGCATTTCTTTCAAAGAATTTGCATTTCTTTCAAAAGGTTCCAGTTTATCAAGCCCTGTCCTGATCACTATGTACCACTCCACAAGCTTAGTTTCCCCAGAATCAATTTTTTTTTTAAATGGGTTTTTGGTTTATTTGGGTTTCTTTCATGGATCATTCATTAAAATATTTAATTTCATGAGAGTTTGCACAGGTCCCTACGAAATCTCTCACTGCACTCCCATTCAGTTGTGGTAGCAACCATTATTACCGTTCAAAAATTTATCACTTAGGTGCTTCCTCATGAACTTAATCCTGGATTCATCCCACTTAACATCAAGCACTCAACAGCAGGAGCGTATTTACTCTAGGCATT